ATACCGTAATAACAGTAAAACTCACGGCAGAGAAATGAACTATAGGCCAGTAAAATGACACAAGGAGAGTTAGTAAACCGCTGGCCTGGTCTTGCCGTTTCTTCCCAGCCAGGCCGTGGGAGACAGCCTCTTTACCAGTTTGTGTTGTCTGCATGGCCCCGTCACTGAAAAGTGTGCAAGTGAGCCAGACATCTAGAACGATTACGCCACCAGGTCCGACAGCTCACCTTTGGGATTCAGGTGACGAGCTCAGCTTGCCTCTGCACGTACCCTGGGTGTTGCAGGGTGCTTACACTCGTGCACCCCAAGTCCTACCTCCCTTGAGCTGGAACATAATCCCTTGGGGTTTCATGGCTATGCCATGATGGTATCTCTGAAATTGACCAGAAATAGCCTAGCGGCTCCTCGCTACAACACCCCTGGGTGAGCCAGTGCGGGCTGGGATGCAGAGGCCAGTATGACACAGCCAGTGGGCAGTCATGGCCCCCCTCCCATGGGGACGGTTCCAGGAGTGCAGCGTGTGCTGTGCAGGGTGAGGAGAGCGTTACCACTTAAAACTGGTAAGTGGGGACCGACGTCTTACGGTGGTCTAAGTGTCTGGCGGTAAAGCAACTCCACGTAGTTTCCTCCAGGTCCCTCAGACGCTCAGACAAGCCTGGGACATGGAACCAACCAGTACCCCAAGACCTTGGGTCCAGGCCCCCCCGTCCTGCCCCACTTCACGGAGACAAAGGTGCAAGGAGAGGGCTTGAGCCTTAGTCCCCCTTTATTTTCTCCAAAGCAAATTGTAAAAGGGGAGGTGGGGGGAACCACTTAGCTGGGACCCTGAGTAACTCACAGGCAAGCACCTGTAGACTTCTCTTCTCTGGAGGAAACCTGTAGTCTTCAATTCCCGGATGCGCGCGGGGCGGATGTGCGGGGGGGGGGGGGGAGCCTCAAAAAGTTCGTGGAAAATCAGAATCAAAGTACAGGTTTACTTCATTGCTCTGCATTTTGAAACCGATGTAGTGTTTTCACCATACGTACTTTCGATGAGCCTTTTGAAGACCCCTCTTATGTTACATTGGCAGGGCTGTGGTGCTGGGGGGGCCCTCTGCCTCATGTCCTCCCAGAATGCCCAGACTAAACGCTGGAACCCATTCCTCACCCCAGCACTGGCTGATCGAGAGCAAGGTGCCCAGATTCCATGAGTTGTTTCCAGACTCTCAGGCTCGTCCCACTAGCTGAGAAGTAGGCTGGAGAGCTGGCAGGGAGAGGTCTGTTTGAGCCTCCCCTGGGAACTCCTCACCCGCCAGCTCAGCCATTGTAGACTCCTCAGCTGAAGAGGCTGCTCTGAGCCTGTGGGAGTCTAGACAAAGCACGAACCTTCCCGCTGAAATCTGGAGAGAGGTCACTCGAGATCCATTTCCTAACTGCTAAGAGATTTAAGACTTCTCTTTCAACCAACGTGTCATCAATCGAGTAGGAGAATGCACGCTGGGACCTCTGTACTTTGTGATCAGTTTTCTACCTCATTAAATCAGCTCCCCATGCTCAGTCCTGACATTCCTCACGGGACCACCCACACGAGAGCAGGCTGGTTGTTGCAAAGTCACTGCCTGCTGGCGTGAGAACAAGACAGGAGGTTTTCAAAGTATTCCGGAAGTTAAACTTGCTGTGTTGGAAGTAGAGGAAATAAAGTGGTACCTGTGGGGGCTGTCAGGTGGCCTGGTGGTTAAGGCACTGTACTCCCATGTGGCTAACCGTGGTTCAAGTCTCAAACATGGTGGCTTGCTTTCTCACTTTCCCTTTTTCTCTCTCTGGTCAAATTAAAAATAGTAGTAATAATTACTAAAATTAAATAATTGTTTTTTAAAAGAAGTGTTATTTATGTGAGAAGATATTATTGAAAATAGAATGGTATGGGGTCAGCCAGGTAGCGTGGTGGTTAAGGCACTGAATCCCACATGGCCAACCGGGTGATTGGAGTCCCGGACCCTTGGCTTGAAAAACACACCCGATGCACATGCGTGAGTGCCCAAAATCCTGAGAGGAGAATGGAGAGTAGTGTGGGCGTCTCCCCTGGGGGAGTGATCTCTCTCTCTCTCTCTTCCCCTCTCCCTCTCCCCGTCTCTGTCCCCAGTGAGCACACATGCCCTATAGCAAATTAAAGGAGAGTAGAATGGTATTTCAGACATAATTACAATAAAAAGTAACAATTGCTCAGTACCTGCTGGGTACCGAGTTTCGCAGATGAGGAAACTGAGGCTCACAGAGATTGGGTTCTCCCTGCAGGGCAGGTCTTGACTCCATGACCAGGCCCTTAATACCCACCTTGCGGGGACCTTGTGTTGCTGCTGTTGGAGGGTCTAGGCGTGGCATGCAGAGGGGCCGGTTGCGGGTCTTTTCTCATGGGGTTGCTCTGGGCTGCGCACTGTGGTACTAGGAGGAACCTGCCTCGTCCACCTCTGTGCCTAGTGCAGGGCTCAGGCCAGCTCAGAAACAGCTGGCCTAGTGGGAATCTAATGGCCCAGCCCTGCCCACAGCAGGGCAAAGTTGGCAAACCACATGGCTTGGTGTCATCCAGCTTCCAGCAGGGCTCACCAAATCACCAGGCAGAGTCCCAATGCCATCTGGGTGACAGAAAGGAGGCCCAGGAAGTGCCCCGTCTTTGCAGCAGGCTCCCAAGAGACAGTGGGCATGGGGACTTTCGCAGGCTGCAGCTTGTGAAAAGGGGGTAGCTTTTGGGCAGGAGGCACTGGAAGATGAGAAGGCACCGTGGTGCTCAGGACAGTAGGATGGCTGTCATTCCGGGGGCTTGTGAGGAAGGAGGGAGGTGGCAGAAGCATTCCTCAGTGCCATTTATTCCTTTTCATCATCCATCTAAGCATGAGCTGCAAGTGTGGAAGACAGCCCTGCACAGCTGGGGTGAGATTCCGCCCAGGTGCCCAGACTGCTGGCAGAGGGCCGGTTGGTCCCTCTTGGCCTGGCAGATGGTCTGTTACTTTCTGAGCTGTGGCTGGACTGAGGCAGCGCTCTGTCCAACTAGCTCTCCTTGGTCAG